TCCGCACGCCGACGTGGTTGGCGCCGTTTCTCGACAGCCAGAAGGTCAGCGCCACTTCCCGGACTAATGACCTTAACAGGTGACGCGACCGAAATAACTAATTGTTTCGTCAGGCATATAAATCAATCCATTCAGCTGCCTAACGAAACGCTCGATCATAGTTTGTCTCTTCGCTTAACCCTTCTTCCTGGCGCACGTCTTGAAATTCATTCATCATATATCTCGCTATTTTGGCGAATCATTAAATTTATTTCTTTTTCACAAAAAATTAATAAGCATCGAAACACTTTCATTCTAACTGTTATTTACATAGTGTTAGTGAATGTCATATTACTTTCCCATTATAACAAATAAACTTGAGTTATACACAGGGGAGAAATATTCCATTCATCGTATAGTATTCGTATTCCTCCACAAGCCAGGACACTGAAAATGTTTTTTATTTTCTATGGGATACACTTTTGATGTTGATCATAAAAAATTAGATGGGAACAAAACTTTCCCATTTTCGTGTTCGTCACGCCCACACACGTTCAGAAAGCAACCACGAAAGTAGCAATGACGTAATATGTCATAGCCGTCTCCAAATCTAGCTTGTAGAAGTGTCATAATGGGTGGCTGCACAATTCAGTCCCTTGTAAATCAACTTACACCATTCGTAACAAAACCAAACGAAAGAATTTTGAGAAAACAATAACTTTTTTCCAAAAAACGATTTTAACATGAAACTAGTGGTGCTACACATATTTTCTTGTATTATTTGTAACGGTTACGTGAATGTCTCTCCTTCTAACATCACTTAATAAAATCTTAACCTAACAATCTTCGATTTTTTAATTTAAAAATGTAAAAGAAATTGTCTTTCCGTCATTGAAATCATTGTATTCTGCACCATCTACGAGTATATGAACATTTAAGGAAGCAAACTTAGTATTGACTAAGAAATGGTATCAATGAAAAGAAGTCTCTCGCTTTAATATTAGAGAAGCAGAAGAGTTTCAAAATACGAAAGAGTAAAGAAAGTCTTAGACACTTGAGGTATTTTAATGTAATTCGGACGGATATATGAAATTTATAAATGCTAGTGAAAAAATTGAAGCCTTTTGAAGGAAATACTACTTTGATATTTTCGTAAAATTCTCACGATTTCATTTCAAATTACTATAAAATTACTCATATTAAGCAAAAATTGTACATAATATTGTTTAAAAATCCTATTTTTAAGAGTATACTTCATTAAGATAAAATTCTAACAGTAACACTACGTATATCTTAATAAATATTCACTTCTAACTTGTATATTAACCACTCACGACCTAAAGATTTAAAATTTCTTCTTTATCAAGGAAAATATTTTATCTTCATTCATTTAATTATAGAAGGTTGTCCAAAAAAATTTTAACTTTTGCAGTTTTCGAAAATTCAGAAGTTTGAATGGAAATTGCACATGCGCTTTTTACTAAGCTTACTGAAGGCTGCGGTTTCAAGTCTCGCTGTAAGGCATTGGTGTTTTCACCACGTGATTGTGCCGAACTTGTCAATGTCAATCCACCACTGTGTTTGTCTGCACAGGAAAGAAAAAGGCATAAAAGCGAAAGCCTGTTGCGTCGTATACGTTCGGGGAGCGAATGCATCGATTATCATTATGGCATAGAAAAAAAACGCTCTGGCCTCCGTTGATTAATGACTGTTGTTCCCGCTTATATGGCGTAGCTAGTGAGGTAGCGCAATTTGCCACTGTCTGCTTTGAATACATCTGTTCACAGCTCAAATTAATGTAATGTATAGTGACACAATGTGTAAAACTCAAATGTTATTCACCTACCCAAATGTCATTCTAAGCCGCTGATTCGCAGGCGATGTATGTACGATATATGTATTTGTAGAAAATACGTTTTGACTTAACACTGAAAACTACCATTTCAACTTGAAAAGTAGGTATTGTCTTCGTTAATGCATGTAAACATATTATATAATGCAATTGCTTCAAACCCCAAAGAATACGCCTCAAGTATTTTGACTCATTACGTACTAGTCGCCAGAGCGCCATTTTGCTACCTCAGGGAATCAAGAGTCGAATCTGCACAATTTCAGGCTGATTTGTAGTGCACAACCAGTTCCCGTTAAGTTTTCTGTGGGTTCTGCTTCTTTCTTGCTTCTCTTTCCATAGCTTCAGGGTCATTCCTGTAATCGTAATGATTATACATGTATCTATTCATTTCCAATACTTTGCGAGAATACAGGGAAAGATCTTTAAAATAAATAAACAAATAAATGTGTCATTCGATAATCCAGTTTTAACTTTATTTTACCAATGTATTACTAACATTAAATTTGTAAATATAATATGAGCGTGTGATCATTCCATCAATCGATACATAAAGGATTTTTTGACTAGATATGCGAGATCTTTATTGATCCATGTGTTAATCCATTCATACATTGGCCGATTTTAGTACACACTAGTAGTCTGCAGGAGCAAAAATACCGCTGAACAAAACCACAAAAAATATGTTTCAAGAAAGTAGCATGCGCACTGCTCAAGAACAATAAATAAAACGCTCACGTTAAACATTGCAATAAACTAATTATTTTAACATTAACTGTTTTCACAAATACTGAAATAACTTTATACGTAGTCTTTATACAATAGTTTTTTACTTACTAGGAATATAAAAAACTGCATTTCTGTAACGCAACATGTGAATAGAAAATATTTAATAGGGGCAGGCTGTTCTTCGGAGCCCTGCTGACGCATGACACCTGCTGCGTCGTAAGCAGCAACTCATTGCTCACTCAGTGCGCCACTTAGATGAGAATTCAGCCAATACGCGCAGCATGACAATAGCAGGAACAACATAATAAAATATCTGCATTATTTTAAGTGAATATCGAATCTGTTTCAATGTTTTTGAATTCCATAATATGCTTTCTTGAATCCCGCCAGCTTCAGCAGCCTAGCCGGCCAGCGCACAGTATCCATCAACAATATTTCAATTACTTACGTCAGTCAGAATAGAAACTATTTAATTGTTTTTGTATTTTATTCGCGTTACTACATATCTAACAAATTCGTAGATACATGGAAAAATGATTTATATATTTATGTATCTCTTTATTTATTCATTCATTTATTTATTTAACGACAAAAACAGTTAAAAACTGTATGACGTACTATGGGAGAAATGTAATATTGTTTGTACGTTTAAACTTGATTCCAAATTTCACATTTATTCCCAATGTATGTTCGTGGAAATATAATATATCTATGATTGCAGTTATAATCCATGTACTAATTGATGTTATTGAGGAGAACGTTAGACAAGATAATGTAGATTGAAAACCGACGTAGTAAATAAATAAAACGATATAAGGAACATTGTTTCTTCTTACGATAAACTAGGAAGATTTGATAAGACATTTATGAACACAGAGTAGTATGAACGATTATTCTCTCATACAATTATTCATCAATTTATTCATCCTGAATTATTATTAGCATGTAGACAATAAGAGTAACGTTAGCAGAAACACCTACTCTATTCTACACGAAAGTTCGTATCCTAGCACGAGGGTTGCTAGCGCACTGCAAACCGCGTTGGTCACACATCCCTGCATATCTCGTAGCGTTTACAAAGCTTGGGAGATGCGCACGCTCGAAAATTGTGTACGAATTCTACACAGAGCTTCGTATGTTGACACCGCGAGAATGAAAGAGGCGGGAATGAAAGAGCAGGAGGCTTTAGACGAATCACTATGCAAAGTATAAAAGTGCCCTTGATACAATATGAATGCATTAAAAAATCTTGTGTCAAATACACTAAGTTGTAATTGTGTAAATCCTCATTATCTCCAGAATTATTCGTGTTAAATTCATACCCATTATTTAACTATTTTCATTGAAAATGAAAGATTGGTTTATTGCTTATAAAACTTTCATACATTTCTTATAATAATTTCGAATTATTTTTATAAATCCATCGTACTCTGAAACATCTGCATTCATTCCTATTCGTTACAGAGATTCCAGCCTGCAAGTGCTCATTACTTCTCAATTTTACTTTCTGGTAAACTACAAAGGTTCGTGCGTACGCTATCGAAGAAACTTAGAGCCCAACCTGCACACAGGATATTCTTGTGAATATTTCTTAATCGATCGGTCCAATGTTTCTATCTCTCTCTGTGACATAATGTGAGATGTGTGAATGAGATGATAAATGTGAGAATCATACCGGCTGATTTTTCTCAGTCAGCGCTGTCGATTTTTTATTGTTTGGTTGATTAGTGTTTCCGAGAGTATCATCAGCTAAGGTCGTTAGTTCCGTAAGAGTGGTGCATGTTTTCCTCGGGGAGGGGGAACTCCCCCGCTGAATGGTGAGATCCGGCGCCGACTTACCGTCGGCTATCGGGGTTTTCACAAGCAAGATACATCTCCCACCAGCAGGGCACCACCCCAATCGGGACAAGCTCTGAGCTCCCGACCGATCTACCGCTATGTGTGGTAGTGTAGTGCGTATTAGTGTAAGTGTGTGTGTGTGTGAGGAGTGAGGATAGGACAAGGAAGGTAAAATGTGAGATGGCCCGCGATCCGTGACCCGCTTGTTAGGGTACTGCTCCGGCATTCGCCTGGTGTTGATCGGAGAAACCACGGAAAACTACCGACCAGAGAAGCTGGGGGCTAGAACTCTCCTCCAGTCAGGGACTGAATTCGATCTAGCTATCTAGCTAGTGTCGAAAATAATGTCAGCGCCGTGTCTCGAACCTAGAACCTCTCGGTCTGAAGCACTGCAGTGACATCAGTTGATGCCCCAAATTATAAAATCTCTATTTTTTTGAATGCGTGAATTTTATTTTAATATTTTTCGCTCGTTACCAACTTAATTTTCATATTACCGAGGTCACTTGTGTTAATTGTGGATGATGGGGGCTGGCCACTGCTGGGCGCTCGGGCCAGCCTGGTAGCCTGCGCTTGCTGACGGCCATGTGTGTGTGTGTTGCAGTGATCCCGCAGCGCTGCTCGTACCGCGGCCGGCGCTTCGACTGCGGCCTGAGCATCAGCTGCGTGCTGGCGGGCGGCCGGCCGCTGGACCTGTGCTCCGGGGGCCTGATCTGGGCGTGCTGCGTGTCGGCCGACGCGCTTCGCCCCGACGAGGCGCCCGCCGCCGCCGCCCTCGCCAACGCCAGTGAGTACCCCCACCCCACCCACGCACCTCTGGCTTCTCTCCATGTACTAGTGAATAGCATTCAGTGAAAGGGAGATAATAAATCTGTAATGTCACTGTACGGGAGGGAGTGGCGGAGAGCGATTTTGAGGAAAAAGTCACGTTTAAAGGAGAAAACACATAAAATGCTTTGTATTCACCAACTTGATCTTTATTTGCATTAGCAACTCTCCTTGGCTTGGTCATCATCGTTAGACGATGTCGCCAAGATTCACTAATCGAATTTTGATGAGCAAGCGAAAGTTTCTATTCCAAAGGAAGGTGAAGTTCAAGAAGAAAAAAAGAATCCATTTCATCATTAATACATCAATTTCAAATTGTTTAATGAATTCATCACGGTGGCATCTTCATTTCTCGCATTTTCTCCCAGAATTTACGCCTTTAAGATACCTTACCTGGTAATTTTAATGGTCAATGTAGCATTCTAGGTCTCACACAACAGTAAGATGTGAGCTAAGACAGCAGATGAAGTTATATGGTATGTCATTTTAAATCCTTATTAAACATTGTTACCTTAACTTTCATTTAACTTTCTTTAACTTCCATTTCTGTTCAAGAAAATTTAATGGCATAAGTAAATTATTCTCATCCTTTCAAATTTTGAGATAAAAATATTCGGACAAAAAGAATTTCGTAGTTTTAAAATAATTTTATTAATTTATACTTGCGAGGTTCGGACAACTAAACCTATGCGGATGTTTTAAAACGTTGTACATTATTTATGTTGACATATAAACATTAATTTTGTAAAGTGAATATGCTTCCAGTATGCGAAATATATTCACTGTGCACTTAAGACAAGACAACCAAAGGACTCGGCAAATCTTAACTTGAAAATTTGCCGCGAACACCACTTGCTAAGCTCAAACTTTATAATAGAAATATATGTGTGTTTTTAATGAGTGAAAATTTACTTTAATAATTCAAAACATAAAACTGCAACAAGGAGGATGTTTTATATATCGTAACAAATATAATACGACTGACAATGTTTCACAGGTGTATAGCTGTTAACATCTTTCCAAAGAAATGTGTTATTCCGATTAGATGCGAAATGAACATTTATATTACCAGAAAAACTAAATTCTTAGGTTTTTCTCACATTCACTCCCTAAACTTTGACTTCTTTGATCAAGAAATATGGGTGTTGTTTACATTTCTGTAAATCTCTTGCCTCGAGTACTGCAGATTCGTACATAGTGTTCGCTCATATTTCTTCTCATGTTACTCAAAAATATAAAGCTATCAAATGACAAAGCTCAAAGAAGGAACATTAGAAAATGTACAAAAACAAATTAAAAATTACGTATTTAATACTCTCATCGATGCTCCACTTCCCACCTGGGAGATGAAGTGAAAAAAAACAAAAAACAGAGCGTGCGTATTTCAGCCAACTTTCCTTGAGTTATCTAGCGGGCCATCAACGCAACCGTGATTGCTGGGACCGATTTAGAACGCTGCCTCCAAAAACGTCGAGGCGGCGCCGGGAAGCGAAAGCAAAGACGAGATGCGATGGAAATAATTGCGGAGCGCAAAAAGCGGGAGCGGACGCTGACACAGATGAACCTGCACGAAGGACGCCACGCCGCGCCCGCCGCGTCGCCACGCGGCCACTTGGAGAAATCGCAGCTGATCTGAATACCGGGGCCAGAGACGCAGGGCGACAGACGGCGAGGCGTCGGCCGATGAAGGTCGACGTTTGTCCGTCCTTCACAGGGGTCAGCGCTCCCGAACGGAACTTTTTTAAATCTAAATACAAACTTCTTAATCATCATTTCCTCGCCAGCGGAGAGCGGTATTTCGGTCCAACATATAAAAGCGCTGGAAGAGGATTGCTACCCAATTTCTCAGTTGTTACTAAGTGATGATGGTTACCCAATTTCCCACATCGTTAGTATAAAGAGGGTGCAGTTGGCAAACGAGGGGGTGGTCGAGCATTCTGGGTGATCTCCTCACCCGGAGAGGTTCTTGTGAGTTTATATTTTTGTGGTTAATGCAACCCCGACAGGGGAAGTTGAATAGCTTTTTTTTCTTGTCCCCGAAATAATTGATATAAAATTTCAATCAGCAAACTCCAGGGCTTTTAGTTTCTAGCTGGTTAAGCGTCTTCCTGATGGGATATCAGGCACCCCGGAACACGGAGATGACACTTGTCATCACTAGGTTAATAGTAAATAATAAATGCCGTTTTAGAGCAGGCCTGCCCAAAACAGTGAACTTAAATCATTCGCACAGGGTAGCCGCGCCATTTACCCCCAGGGACATGTGCAATATTTCGTCAGTGCTGAGAAGAACACACTCTTAGATGCGGTGGCACCACTGCGTCAAACATGACGCGCATTTCTCAATCTGTCTTTCTGTGTTTCTTATCCTGGAAGGCAGCAGTGGAAGTGGTGTGAAACATTTGTGTTTTGGATAACGTAACAAGATGTGCGCCTCAGATTAAAGTATTACTATTAGATGTGTTCTTGGGTTAAGTTAAATGTAACTATATTGTAATTATTAATATTACGCCGCAGTATATAACATGCAGCGTATATTACCCATATGTAGCTTGTGGCCATGAGGAAAGACAGTGTAGTGCATGTTATTAGATACTAGATATAATGAAGACTGGAAGAACATTTCATAAAGGACCAAAACGATGGCTTCACAAATTTAATGCAGTTTAATTACCTGATCTAAAACTCAGGAACGCAGTCAGTAATACCTAATAATGTGGAGAAATCAAGCAACAGTCATTATATTGTACTTTCTGGGTTTTGTGCGTGTTTTCGTGTGCTTCCGAACGAAAGCACGGCATGAGTCTCACTAGGGTTGAGACATTTTTGTGGAACACGTTCTCTGAGTAACCTCTGAGCGACATCCACGTGCCCTCGCAGTTGCCTCTCGTTGCTCCCGCGCGGCCCAACTCCGCGGCAGCGGTATGTTGGACGGAGTCAGGTTCCGGACCTCCCCATCGACGAGACACTTGACCGACTTTAAAGTGATGCCGTGTGGGAAACAGATATCCCTGGACTGTAACCGTTCGATATTCCTGGCCACTGACTGCGGTGGCTGCAGCTTAGTCACACTCTCACACTTCGATTTCAGATGGCTCCAGCCAGGCCGGGCGGACATCGCGGAAAGACGGAAGCGGCCTCCATCCGGGCTGAGCAGATGTTCCACATAATAAATAACTCTGTTGAATTGGCGCACTCTCACCGAGTTATAAAGATTGCCCAATATTAGTGTCATTATTAATGATTTATTGCCTGTTCATGCTCGGATTGTACCGGATTGCTACCGTATTTGACACAGGATTTCTACCTCAGATTTGTTCCGTTTCAATCTAGACATTTATTTTTTTATCGTCTAAAAAGACAGTTAAGATTTAATATGATAAAGGGGAGAAGTATAATATGTGCGAATTTTGGGAAGGACTGTGCATCATTGAATTGTGAAGAAAGGTACCAACAAGCCTGGTTGGCAACATTTGAGCACTAGACATTTTCGTTTTCTACTAAAGGAAAATGTACACGCAAACGAACTACAAATTTGATTTCAAAGTATTCGAAAATAATAACTCTCCTTCGCTGCTCCTCCACAACTAGCAAATAAAGAGCTCAGTGAACGTTGTGAAGGTACATTTGTTGTAACTAAATGCCAACTTGTTCACCGGCGTCAAACAGTGAAGGAAAATCATTTTCTATATTTCTTCAATGTGTCGAAACGCGGAAGAGGCTCAATGAGGGCAAACGCTCTGACCTCTTTCGTAGCCTGAGGCTTTTCCACTAGTGGTAGAACTGGATTTTGTGGAGAACGAAGAGTTTTCTTTCATTAACGGGGTTATTGTTTCTCCCTCTGATATCACCATACGAGAACGTAGCTTAAAATTTAAATTCATGTATTATTTGAGAAGATTATGAGAATAAAGTACGAAGGTCTCCCTTCTCATACGAGACAATAAACTAAACTATATGAATCAAGATTTACGAGAAATATTCTTCTGACACTAAAGATATTGGCGACAAATGCCTCTGTTTTTTGTCGTGAAGTATACAGGTGCCTCAAAACAAATCTTACACATTTTTAGGACGTAAAGAGGGTCGAAATTTATCACATTTTGCCTTTAAATATATAGTTGAAAATTTCATAAAACGAAATTACACATGCGATAATTGTCCCTGATTTGTAGGCAACTAATTATGCACTAGTGTTTGGCGGGTCACGTTCTGACGCATTCAAAGGGATTTCGTTGATTTGCTCAACATATGTGCCTTTCTATCGGGGGTAAATGCCACAAGTGTGACTTCGTTATATAAACTTTTTCCTGTATGTTTCTTGGCACAACGATATTATTTTCGATCTCCCTTTATGGCCTCGAAGAGTAGTCGTAGTAGGAGACAACCTTTGAGATATGTGGGACATAGCATACATAATTTCATCAATTGCGTGATGTTCACCTCGAAAATTTGACCACGTGACATAGAATGATCATTTTGTAGTCTAGGTACTTTTCAAAAAACCAAATTACGTGAATTCCAACACGAAAAGCAACGACCGGAATTGCTATGGAGTGAGTGTACAGGCGGTCTCGGCTATGTGCTGTGGCATTGGGGACTTCCTTACTCACCGCTAAACCCATCTGTATATGAACACATCGTTCTTGGCATGTCTTTGCCAGGAAAGTAAGAGTAAATGTAAGAGCATCGATTTGAGCTATGTGAATGATGCAAATGGATGGGTTACCTAGGCCTTTCCTTTGCGCCGGTACCAGTGTGAGCCTGATTTTGTACGGCCCTTTGGACTTAGCGTAGCACTATCTAGTCGCGACCATGATCATTAAACCTGATAATTATCGGTTAGGTATGCAGAGACCCATGGCAGTTGGGCGTATAATGTATTTAAAGAAAATACGGGCCAGTGGGCTCCTTCAGTGTTTGAGTGGGGTAACCGAGGTAAGTGTCTTGGAGTCTGCCAGAATATTAGCCAGTATCAGTCAAGGGGAGGAATTATTTAAACATATTAAGATGGTTACGACAAGTGAATTCAATAATCTAAGCAGTGGTTTAGCAAAGCCTCGAAAGAGGGAAGAGTAAAAACTACTGCTACCAACACAAAAATCTCTCATATAATATTTTTGTAATAGATTAATCAGATAATTAAAATATTTAATTCTATTAATTATTTCATTAATTAATAATATATTTAGTCTATACAATACATTGAGTTACTTTGAAGAAACAGTTACAGAAAATTTCCATTTTTTTATCATCAGGGCGGCCTTAAAATCAAGGTCGGGCTGTGTCCTCTTTTGTTA